GGAGAAGAAGAGGAACCATTTTGCCTGTATTTTAGCAAAGTCACTATTGATTCACATGCACGTCAGTCTGGGAAATGCTACATAGAGGCTCTTGAGTGCCAGGCCTGATCAAACTTATGTGTAAGGGATATTTCTCTAGCGACAGTGCTTGAGGTGAAGGAGAGTGAGTGTTGCAGCTGTTCATGTGAGAGGCTTAGTCTTATGTGGTATAAAACAGGCAACAGATTTGAGAGACACTGAGGCAGAATCTTTGTTCCTGGCAAATGAATTGATGTTTCCTTTCTTGGCAGTCATCTAGAAATCGAGATGAAGAGGCCAAGAGCAGAAAGCACATACAGGAGAAGCAAGTGGCTGGGGAGCAGGGAAGAAGAAAAGATGAGGGGTTTGGTGTTGGCTGATCAGGCAAGAAGATATCCAGAGGGAGACAGTTGGTGGCAGTTGTAAATGAGGGCAGGGCTGTGGAGAGGTTCTGGTGCTTACTTGAGATTGTGAGAAAGAGGGACCTGTGAGAGAAGCACGAGAAATATCTTTGTCTTTTAGAGAGGAAGATGAACTGGTCAGCTTGGAGGTATAGGATGAGGACTGGGAGGAAAGAAAGATTTGGTATGGGACACACATAAAGAATTTAAGTGGAGCAGCCAGGATAAAAGGCAGACTGTGGGAGGTTAATGATTCACCCCCCTCTGTCCCACTCCCTCCTTTCCTCACTGATGGGAGGCACTTTTAGGACAGGTGACCTGATCTTATTTGTAGGCTGTGAGGAAGGATATAAAGGTCCTTTGGAGGGCTGGGGAGATAGCTTGGCGGTGTACGCACCTGCCTGGCAAGCACAAGGACCTGAGTTCAATCCCCAGTTGGCCCCAGAACCCCTGGTGTGCTGTGCCAGCCCTGAAACCGAGCTTGGTGGTCCATGGCTGTAATCCCAGTGCTGGGTAAGCTGAGACAGGAGGATCACTCTTCTGAGACAGGAAGATCACTATTCTGAGACAGGAGAATCACTATTTGTCTCTCAACTGTGTAGCGAGACCCTGTATCAAAAATAAATAAAATCTGTTTTTAAAAATGGTGCTTTTGGGGCTGGGGAGATGGCTCAGTAGAATAAGCGCTTGCCTGGCAAGCCCAAGTGTCTGAGTTCAATCCCCGGTTCCGCAAAAA